TGGGGCGAACCAGGATTCGAACCGGGATTCGAACCCACAATCATAGGTTTCTGGCGTGCCCAAGGGACTGAACTCTGCACAGCGAATCACGGTGCCTTAGACGACTGGGCCACCTGTGCCCCCATATCATACAAAGACTTTGTGAATCATCACTGTCTTTTCCCACTGAGATCTGTGAAACAAAACAAAGAGACCAATGAAGCTAACTAAGACTGACTTTATTGACAATCATCAGTATTGTCATGTTGTACAAAAATACAGAGGCTTGCTAGTTGCTCACTCACACACTCACTCACTCACTCATTCATTCAGTTGGTCAGGCCCACGAAGTCAGACCCACTCTGCTACAGTTCACTAGCTCAACACACTCCTGTATTTCATGACACATCTTATTGTACAAATATGGCATCTCTCATTGACAGAAACAGATATTTTATCTCTGAGCCAGATACTAGAACCCAATGACTTCTACAGTCTTGCTCCAATGATAACAGTCACTTAAAGAGGGACACATTTGGGGCAAATTTGGGAGTCCGAGCATGTCTGATAAAAATCAAAACCCACTTTGTCAAATTTTAACATTTACATTAATCTGGAACATAACTAGTCCATAGAGACAGACAACAGACCTAAAGAAGAAAAGCAGCAGAAGGCTCCCAAACTAGGGAATAAAAAACACTTTAAATAAAAATTGCAAACGAAAACCTCATAAAGACTTGGCACATTTTCAATGGAACCTGACACGGGAAATCATGCAGACCCCCACAACTAGTGACACGCTCCATGATTCACTGTTTGGTCCAAATGAAAATGTGCCGGGTTCTTGTCATTACGATCCAAACTTTATGAGGATTGTGTCTTTGTTTGTAATTTTCGTTGCAATTTCTACTTAAAGTGTGTACATTTTCTATAGTATTGGGGCCTTCTGCTGGTTTTCTTTGGTAGGCCTGGACAAGGAGGCTAATACATAGCACTAATTACAACTTGTAGACTGGCTGGATGTGAACACCGGACCATGGAGCGTAGTCCCCCTTTAAATGACATTCTCACTTATGCACTGGCCCAAACTATTGCCTTTACATTTCCTGTATATCACACAATACAAAACAAAATGACAAAAAATGACTGATTATGTTTGGGGCAAAGGAAGGCAAAAGTGGAGGATAAACATCTTAAGTTCAAAAATACATGTTTCAATTCAGTGAAACACGGCCTGAGTGAATACATGCATATCTGGGGACAGGGACAACTTGTTCAACTGAGTGAATACATGCATATCTGGGGACAGGGACAACTTGTTCAACTGAGTGAATACATGCATGTCTCGGGCAGTGACAGCCTGCTCAGCTGAGTGAATACATGCATGTCTAGGGCAGTGACAGCCTACTCAACTGAGTGAATACATGCATGTCTTGGGCAGAGACAGCCTACTCAACTGAGTGAATACATGCATGTCTGGGGCGGAGACAGCCTACTCAACTGAGTGAATACATGCATGTCTGGGGCAGAGACAGCCTACTCAACTGAGTGAATACATGCATGTCTTGGGCAGAGACAGCCTACTCAACTGAGTGAATACATGCATGTCTGGGGCAGAGACAGCCTACTCAACTGAGTGAATACATGCATGTCTGGGGCAGTGACAGCCTACTCAACTGAGTGAATACATACATGTCTTGGGCAGTGACAGCCTACTCAACTGAGTGAATACATGCATGTCTGGGGCAGAGACAGCCTACTCAACTGAGTGAATACATGCATGTCTGGGGCAGAGACAGCCTACTCAACTGAGTGAATACATGCATGTCTCGGGCAGTGACAGCCTACTCAGCTGAGTGAATACATGCATGTCTAGAGCAGTGACAGCCTACTCAGCTGAATGAATACATGCATGTCTGGGGCAGTGACAGCCTACTCAGCTGAGTGAATACATGCATGTCTCGGGCAGTGACAGCCTACTCAGCTGAGTGAATACATGCATGTCTTGGGCAGAGACAGCCTACTCAACTGAGTGAATACATGCATGTCTGGGGCAGTGACAGCCTACTCAACTGAGTGAATACATGCATGTCTCGGGCAGTGACAGCCTACTCAACTGAGTGAATACATGCATGTCTGGGGGCAGTGACAGCCTACTCAACTGAGTGAATACATGCATGTCTTGGGCAGTGACAGCCTACTCAACTGAGTGAATACATGCATGTCTTGGGCAGTGACAGCCTACTCAACTGAGTGAATATATGCATGTCTTGGGCAGTGACAGCCTACTCAGCTGAGTGAATACATGCATGTCTGGGGCAGTGACAGCCTACTCAACTGAGTGAATACATGCATGTCTTGGGCAGTGACAGCCTACTCAACTGAGTGAATACATGCATGTCTGGGGCAGTGACAGCCTACTCAACTGAGTGAATACATGCATGTCTGGGGCAGTGACAGCCTACTCAACTGAGTGAATACATGCATGTCTTGGGCAGTGACAGCCTACTCAACTGAGTGAATACATGCATGTCTGGGGCAGTGACAGCCTACTCAACTGAGTGAATACATGCATGTCTGGGGCAGTGACAGCCTACTCAACTGAGTGAATACATGCATGTCTTGGGCAGTGACAGCCTACTCAACTGAGTGAATACATGCATGTCTGGGGCAGTGACAGCCTACTCAACTGAGTGAATACATGCATGTCTTGGGCAGAGACAGCCTACTCAACTGAGTGAATACATGCATGTCTTGGGCAGTGACAGCCTACTCAACTGAGTGAATACATGCATGTCTGGGGCAGTGACAGCCTACTCAACTGAGTGAATATATGCATGTCTGGGGCAGTGACAGCCTACTCAGCTGAGTGAATACATGCATGTCTGGGGCAGGGACAGCCTACTCAACTGAGTGAATACATGCATGTCTTGGGCAGTGACAGCCTACTCAACTGAGTGAATACATGCATGTCTTGGGCAGTGACAGCCTACTCAGCTGAGTGAATACATGCATGTCTGGGGCAGGGACAGCCTACTCAACTGAGTGAATACATGCATGTCTTGGGCAGTGACAGCCTACTCAACTGAGTGAATACATGCATGTCTGGGGCAGAGACAGCCTACTCAACTCAATCATTACATGCATGTCTGGGGCAGTGACAACTTACTTAGTTGAGTGAATACATGCATGTCTGGGGCCTGTGAGAGCTCATTCAAGTGCAAGGAATATGCATTTACACCGGTTTTCATATATGAAAGCTTCACCAGATGTTCATTTCAACAAACCCTTGCTAAAACCTGAGCACACAGGACATATCAATGGTCCTGTCTGGACTATCGAAAAGATTCTTCTTTACTGTGGTTCAGTTCCTCATATACAGAAACATAGGTTAGTTTGCAGCTGTAAAATAATTCAGTTCTGACATAAACTGAACTTGTTACATAGAGAATCTCCCCTAATTGTCTTTTGATAAAAATATATTTGCATGAGTCAAAAAAGGTTTAACTCTGGGGTTTGCTGAGAAGTTTTAAACTTGTATTGACAAGTGTTGACATATTTCATATCAAAAGACAATTGGGGAGATCTTATTTATCACTCTTCCAACATTTCCAGTTTGTAAACAGTAATAAGGGTGTCTTGAGTGCAAACAGTGCAGCACACCAGCTTCAGTCGCAAAGAAGTTGGTGAAGCCACTCAGGTCTGGCATCATGGTAACCAATGACATATCAATGGTCTTCTAAGCAAAAGCATTGTTATGCAATTTCATTGTAGCAATATCTCCTAGAACAAATTGCTTCATCTCACCCAAGCGATATTACCTGTGGAAGCCAGTTTTGGATGATGAACTATCCACACCACCTTCAGGTAACTATACATGTACCATGGCCATTCACAGGCAGTACCACACAGCAAAGGAACTGCCCGGAGTAAATGGGCAATTCAGAATGCAACAAGGGCCCCAATACACAAAGCGTTCGTTTCGCTACAACATTCATAAACCTATGATAAACTATAGGGTTACGATAAGTCGTAGGACTGCGAAAGCTTTGTGGTTCAATAAACCTGGTTTTAGCAATAATAATGGCAACGCTATCAGGGCATTATCATTTGTAGAAGACCTCGGCCTTTTCAATTGACCTCCTTTGTCGGTCAGTTAATGGAAGACCTCGCGTTTCTGCAAATGATAATGCCCTGAAAAATAGCGTTACCCTTCTTGTAAGCAAAAAACAGAAAACTGACCATTTTGTCAGTGATGCACTATGTTGCAGAAGGGGACAATGAAGATGGAAGATTGTTGAGCATGAGTGAAATGGGGGATATGGAACTTGTGTGAGACAGTCTGCTTGGTCCAAGTCGTCAGTCCACGAGGACACTGACAAGGGAGACTGCAATCAACCCTGTCATACAGGACCCTCGCACGTCTTATTGCTTACCCTATCACTTTGCAGGTCAAATGAAACACGAGGTAGCACTACTGGGGAGTACAGTCAGCAAACCAACTTTGATTATACCCTGTGTGGTGGAAGTTGACTGAGTGTCCATTATGCCTGTCCTCACTTTGTACCATCGGGGCTGGACTGGCTCACGACAACATGGACGTCGTAACAAGGGAAACACAGAGAACACAGTGGTCCTGTATGGATGTGAACCTTAACAGTTGTCATAGGATCATATGGTGATAAGACCATTTTGTCAGGGTGTTCAGGGCTTGATTTAATTATATAAAACGTCCACCAGTGCAACCTATTTTTGAAAAGTGCAACCTAATATTTACGTCTGTATGCACCAAGTGCATGTAAAAACATTTCAAACTTGTGTTTGATTGACCCTTACTTTTCCACACAACATTGATCTTTGAGTGAGTGAGTTGGGTTGGGTTTAATGCCACTTTTAACAGTATTCCAGTTATATTGAGGCGTGTCAGCTTAATGTGGGAGGAAAGCCCTAAGTAATGCAGGTCTCAGACATTTACCACTTCGGTGAAACCCACGAGCACGGGTATGGTGCTGACAAACCTAGAAACATAATCGGGGCGAACTGGGATTTGAACCCACAATCATAGGTTTCTGTCGTGTCCAAGGGACGCAACTCTTCACAGCGAATAGCCGCGCCTTAGACGACTGGGCCATCCGTGCCCCCTAGAGAGAAGAAAACAACCCAATGATGTGAAGGCATCCTGGAGGTACCTACACCTCGTGCACAAGCTATATAGCAGAACGATGTGAAGGCAATCAGAGGTACCTATGCCTATGGAGTAAGCTATTCCACAGCAGGATAATGAGGTTCAGGTTCACCAGTGAGAGCTACTCCATAGCAGGAGAAAGATGTGAAGGCATCCTGGAGGTACGAGGTAGGAATATACAAGCACTCTCAAATACATACTTTCTAAAGCCTCAAATAACATTGAGAACAACTTTCAATCTTTCAAAATACAAATACTGTCTGACCTTAATCTAATTACACATATGATAACAAAGCAAAAACAAGGACACCAGTCAGACATACTTATTGTTAACTTCAGCCTCACAAGCATTCTCTCACCAACACATATTTATCAGATCAGTTATTTACAGATGGGGAAACACCCTTCAGCACCCTGACTACATAATCAGATTCATTCTGTCCAAAAATAGATGAGTTCTATGTCTGATGGGTTGGTCGTGACATCAGGGAGCTGGTGCTGCAAGTCAGGCTCCGTGCAGTGTGTCTGTGTGTATCCCTGTGATGAGCCATGAGGTTGGGTCAGCGGGTTTCCGCCTTGTGTTTGGGGGGACGGAAAGCGCCTTTGGCCTTCTTGCTCTTGCTGCCCTTCCAGCTCCTCCAGCTGTCTACCCTGTCTGTGCGGCTTTCCTGAAGACAGTGGACACGATGGATCAGTATGCAGATCATTTTGTATTATATACTTCATTGCAGTGAGTGAGTGAGTTAGTATGGTTTTACGACGCTTTTAGCAATATTCCAGCAACATCACGGCGGGGGACACCAGAAATGGGCTTCACGCATTGTACCCATGTCGGGAATCGGACCCGGGTCTTCGGCGTGGGGAGTGAACGCTTTAACCACTAGGCTACCCGACCGCCCCTCATTGCAGTACGGTGGTAGTGTACAATAGAGGGCAGAGAGGTTGTGATATACAACAGGGCAATCTGGTTGTAGTATACAATAGTAGAGCAGTGCGGTGGTAGTGTACAATAGAGGGCAGAGAGGTTGTGATATACCGTATATCGCTGTGTATAAGGCGACCCCACGTATAAGACGACCCCCCTGTACACGCCTTAAAAATCAACCCAAAATCCTATACTCCGTGTATAAGGCGACCTGGAATGAAACACATCACAAGTCTGACTGATATACCGGTAGAAGATTTAACGTGCTCTTGCCGACTGTAGCGTATTTCGCACACGGACATCACAAATTAGTTAGTCAGTTACTTTGGAGATTTAATGTGCGCTTTCTGACTGATGCGTATTTCGCACACATCACAAGTGCGCACACAAACCTTATATATGCAATAAAAATATGTTTATCTTGCGTTGTTTTTTTTCTACAATGATAGGTCGCGTGTGTAACTCCGGCACACGTCGCCATTTTGTGTTTACACGGTACGCGCCCAAATTGGTGCCCGTAAAATAAAATTCATTTATGAAGTAATAACATATAAGAGACAATGGTGAGTAATTTAATCGCCAATTAACTATGTTGTAACTAACTAGGCTTATGTTTGCTTCACATTCAGCGTGTTTATTCCACAATCACTTATACACACCGTCTCCAACACTTGTACAACTGTAAAAACAGCGGGAATTGATTTCAGCTTCACCGGTTATCACGTGTTAGGTCACATGTGCAATATGCAAATGATTACCGGTACTTCCGGCTCTCTACTCACGGATGTTGATTGTTTTACCGTGTCAGCTGGTTTGACAATCTGCATCGAGGAGAGGGTCATTTCAACTTTATTTGCAGAAATTATTAAACTTTATTCAAGGAAAAGAGATACAAATCATGATTATGTATGGAAATAGTTATTGGAACAGTTATTTAGGACGAAATGCGAAGTTTTATTGTCAAATGCTGGGCTGGCTATCGGACGCCGGTTGACATCGCCAGTGGAAAAAAATGTGAGATCTTCGACTCCATGTATAAGACGACCCCCCTTCTTAGCCCCCTCATTTTAAGTACGAAAAACTCGCCTGATACACAGCGATATACGGTACAACAGGGCAATATGGTGGTTGTATACAATAGTAGGGCAGTGCAGTGGTAGTGTACAATAGAGGGCAGAGAGATTGTGATATACAACAGGGCAATATGGTGGTTGTATACAATAGTAGGGCAGTGCTGTGGTAGTGTACAATAGAGGGCAGAGAGGTTGTGATATACAACAGGGCAATCTGGTTGTAGTATACAATAGTAGGGCAGTGTGGTGGTAGTGTACAATAAAGGGCAGAGTGGTTGTGATATACAACAGGGCAATATGGTGGTAGTATACAATAGTAGGGCAGTACGGTGGTAGTGTACAATAGAGGGCAGAGAGGTTGTGATATACAACAGGGCAATATGGTTGTAGTATACAATAGTAGGGCAGTGTGGTGGTAGTGTACAATAAAGGGCAGAGTGGTTGTGATATACAACAGGGCAATATGGTGGTCGTATACAATAGTAGGGCAGTACGGTGGTAGTGTACAATAGAGGGCAGAGAGGTTGTGATATGCAACAGGGCAATATGGTGGTAGTATAAGGGTAACGCTATTTTTCAGGGCATTATCATTTGCAGAAGCCCAAGGTCTTCCATTAACTGCCCGACGAAGGAGGGCAGTTGAAAAGACCGAGGGCTTCTGCAAATGATAATGCCCTGAAAAATAGCGTTACCGTTATAATAGCTAAAATGGATGGAATTTTTATCAAATAAAAAGAAACAACAATATCGTGTTTGAAACATTTACTGCAATCAACACGAATGTCACTGACCCACTTTCACAAATATGGAAACGTCACAGAACAAACCAGATGACGTCATTCTTGAACGTGACGTCACCGATCCTATCCTATGACGTCACCTCACAACGGGCATGATAATGGCCCGTCGTCAAGTAATATGATGGCATTATCAAGTTACAGTGGCCTGCTCATTTCTGATAACATGCGGGCGGTTTAATGATAATTCTATCCATTTTAGCTATAATATACAATAGTAGGGCAGTGCTGTGGTAGTGTACACTAGAGGGCAGAGAGGTTGTGATATACAACAGGGCAATCTGGTTGTAGTATACAATAGTAGGGCAGTGTGGTGGTAGTGTACAATAGAGGGCAGAGTGGTTGTGATATACAACAGGGCAATATGGTGGTAGTATACAATAGTAGGGCAGTACGGTGGTAGTGTACAATAGAGGGCAGAGAGGTTGTGATATACAACAGGGCAATATGGTTGTAGTATACAATAGTAGGGCAGTGTGGTGGTAGTGTACAATAAAGGGCAGAGTGGTTGTGATATACAACAGGGCAATATGGTGGTAGTATACAATAGTAGGGCAGTACGGTGGTAGTGTACAATAGAGGGCAGAGAGGTTGTGATATGCAACAGGGCAATATGGTGGTAGTATAAGGGTAACGCTATTTTTCAGGGCATTATCATTTGCAGAAGCCCAAGGTCTTCCATTAACTGCCCGACGAAGGAGGGCAGTTGAAAAGACCGAGGGCTTCTGCAAATGATAATGCCCAGAAAAATAGCGTTACCGTTATAATAGCTAAAATGGATGGAATTTTTATCAAATAAAAAGAAACAACAATATCGTGTTTGAAACATTTACTGCAATCAACACGAATGTCACTGACCCACTTTCACAAATATGGAAACGTCACAGAACAAACCAGATGACGTCATTCTTGAACGTGACGTCACCGATCCTATCCTATGACGTCACCTCACAACGGGCATGATAATGGCCCGTCGTCAAGTAATATGATGGCATTATCAAGTTACAGTGGCCTGCTCATTTCTGATAACATGCGGGCGGTTTAATGATAATTCTATCCATTTTAGCTATAATATACAATAGTAGGGCAGTGCTGTGGTAGTGTACACTAGAGGGCAGAGAGGTTGTGATATACAACAGGGCAATCTGGTTGTAGTATACAATAGTAGGGCAGTGTGGTGGTAGTGTACAATAGAGGGCAGAGTGGTTGTGATATACAACAGGGCAATCTGGTTGTAGTATACAATAGTAGGGCAGTGTGGTGGTAGTATACAATAGTAGGGCAGTGTGGTGGTAGTGTACAATAAAGGGCAGAGTGGTTGTGATATACAACAGGGCAATATGGTTGTAGTATACAATAGTAGGGCAGTACGGTGGTAGTGTACAATAGAGGGCAGAGTTGTTGTGGTATACAACAGGGCAATATGGTTGTAGTATACAATAGTAGGGCAGTACGGTGGTAGTGTACAATAGAGGGCAGAGAGGTTGTGATATACAACAGGGCAATGTGGTGGTTGTATACAATAGTAGGGCAGTGCGGTGGTAGTGTACACTAGAGGGCAGAGTGGTTGTGATATACAACAGGGCAATATGGTGGTTGTATACAATAGTAGGGCAGTACGGTGGTAGTGTACAATAGAGGGCAGAGAGGTTGTCCAACAGGGCAGAGTGGTTGCAGTATACAACAGTCAGGTACTACAGAAGTAGTACACAATAGTGGGGAAGTGAGCTGGTAGTATACAAATTACAATATTAGCGCAGTACGGTGGTAGTGTACTTCTGATCTGGCTGACATATATACCCCTCTGAGGACAGTTACCTCATAGTTCTTCTTCCATTCAGCTTCCACTTTCTTCTTCTCTTCATCATCTGCATCCTGCTCTGCCTTTCTTTTCCTGGAGACAAAGAATACAAGTTACCCAGAGATGCTAGAGGTGATTTGATGTGATGTGATGTGATGTGGTGTGGTGTGGTGTGGTGTGGTGTGGTGTGGTGTGGTGTGGTGTGGTGTGGTGTGGTGTGGTGTGGTGTGGTGTGGTGTCTAGTCTAATGCTAATTTAATAGTGCTAGCCCACTGAGATACCATGCTGCAGTTTACTGTGTATGAGCTGACCAGTCCTTGTTTACGTCCCTTAATGACAAACGCCTGGCAGGGTAACAACAAGTACCATCTTTTGATATGATGCAAAGAAGCTTGAACAAACACAAGGATAGCAAGAGATATGGCCTCATTATCCCTAATACTAGTGACAGATATGACCTCATTATCACCAGTACTAGTGAGAGATGTTACCTCATTATCCCCAGTACTAGTGAGATATGACCTCATTATCCCTAGTACTAGTGAGAGATATGATCTCATTATCCCTAGTACTAGCAAGGGATGTGATCTCATTATCACAGTACTAGCAAGAGATGTGACCTCATTATCACAGTACTAGCGAGATGTGTCTTCAATGTCCCCAGTACTAGCAAGAGATGTGACCTCATTATCACAGTACTAGCAAGAGATGTGACCACATTATCCCCAGTACCAGACAACATAACTCACCTCTCATGCATGTCCTTAGTCTCTCGTTCCTGCCGCATGCGCTCCAGGTCGGCAAACAGTTTACACGTCTGCACATACACAGAATGCTTGTACTGAAACAGAAGGCCATGCAGTCAGTGAGGTAATGACTTGGAGTTTGGTAACACTTTCAGTAGTATTTCAGTCACATTACGACATGTCAACTTAATGTTTGTGCAAATTAAGCCAAACGTGATGGAAGACCGAAGAATCCTAATCGAGGTGAATCAGGCATCAGACAAGAGAATCCTGGCAGCAACTCTATGAAGACACAAGGCTATGAGACACAGGTTTAAACTCGACACACACACAAAATGTGAAGGCATTTCATTTGATCAACTCCATGCATGTTGGGCAATGGCCCATGATGATCACTCAAACTCAACTGGTAAACAAATTACACAAATAAAGTTGCCAATGATGTGCACCACCATGCTTTCTGTATGCAGAACGTCACCTTGCTGATGTGCGATTAACAATAGGTTACCAAAAGATCAATCATAGTGAGTGAGTTGGGTTTAAAGCCGCTTTTAACAGTATTACAGTTATATCGCGGCGTGTCAGCTTAATGTGGGAGGAAAGCCCGAAGTGATGCAGGTTTCAGACGTTTACCACTTTGGTGAAACCCACGAGCACCGGTATGGTGCTCACAAACCTAGAAACATAATCGGGGCGAGATCAATCATAACATCATATACCTTGGTCATATCATCCTCGGGGACTGCTGTTGATTTGCCTTCTTTTTTCAATTGTTTTCTCTTCTGCTTGAGCTGAAACATAAACGACACGTAAACTCTACAACTTGACAACATATCATTTCACTGCATCTAAGCATGATTGAGTAAATATTGAGTGAGTGAGTTGGGTTTGACGCCGCTTTTAACAGTATTCCAGTTATATCGCGGCGTGTCAGCTTAATGTTGGAGGAAAGCCCGAAGTGATGCAGGTCTCAGACTTTTACCACTTTGGTGAAACCCACGAGCACAAGTATGGTGCTGACAAACCTAGAAACATAATCGGGCCGAACCGGGATTCGAACCTACACTCATAGGTTTCTGGCGTGCCTGAGGGATGCACCTTGCACAGCGAATCGCAGCGCCTTAGACGACTGGGCCACCTGTGCCCCCGAGTAAATACTGAGCATACCATAGTCATCAATAGTCCAGCTGTATAACAGCAGCTTGTAATTCTGAGCAACGTGGACACCAACAGGCCACAATTACACACAATTAGCAAAGTCACAGAGCCTGACCTCCTGAGCTCCATTTCAGTCAGTCCTTACAACAAGCATACGGTGCAGAGAACCTATCTAACCATGCTAACTAGGGGTTGAGTTAGGGCTTAAAAAAATAAAAGAATTGGTTCTCAGGCAATGACTACAGCGGTAGAAACTAACTTTTTTGGTCCACTAGTCCTTATAATGATAACATATAGTAAAACCCTTCAAAATGGCAAATTTCTACTAGTCCTTATGATACCTTAAAGGGGAAGTGTACACGCAAAAATCACTTTCTTTCTTTTTCTAAACAAAACGCAATTTTAGAATTAGTTAGTATCTGTGTTTGAAAATATACACTCACTTTTTTCACAGTGAAAGTAGGAAGCTCACAATTGTGTGAAAATGATATGCCGTTATGAGGCCTTCGTTTTTCGAGCTAAACAGGCCTGAGTTATCCCCCTTAGATTATGACGTAATTGGTGCCAATTCAACTGGGTCCCTGTCTATTCTGAACGCAAAAGATATCAAGTACCAGTTTTCGGTAAAACAACATGGCCTACGACACACTCCGGCGCAGTGGTGACTCAGCATTACACTATGCTGCCTGGCATCTGAGACGCTAGAATCACACACCTATACCTACACCACGTGAAGCGGCTCTAACAAAGCATGATGACGTCATAATGTTTATCAATTGGCACCAATGACGTCATATTGCAAGGGGCATAAGCCATGGTGTTTTTGTTATGGAAATAGAACATTTGGTAAATGTGAAAAATATAAATCGTTTTAATGCAAAACATATGTTAATTAATTGTGATATTTTTATATTTTTGTCTATGACACTTCTAGGTTAACACTTTTATTGTGGAAAAAGTACAAGAAAATTAGGTTCATTTCCGTGTGAACTTGCCCTTTAACTATTGGGCAGTTTGGCAAGGACTACAGGACTAGTGCCAATTTCTAAAGCTGGACTTTGAAAATACAGTGCAGGCAGGGGTGTTGTTTTTTTTTTGCGTGTTCAAACTAGTATGTAACCAAATAAACCGCTGTGTTCTATTAACCTGGGGGGCGGTTGGGTTGCCTAGTTGTTAAAGCATTCACTCGTAACGCCAAAGACCAGGGTTCAATGAGTGAAGCCCATTTCTGGTGTCCCCCGCCGTGATATTGCTGAAATATTGCTAAAAGCGGCGTAAAACCGTACTCACACACTCACCCTATTAACCTGGAAAAGAGCCTTCCTACATTATTTCTTTAGTCTGAGGAACGTGATTCAACATACACCTGGTTCATGTTGACATGAAAAGCTAGTTGCACCAGACAAAACCAGGTTGCACCCTGGTCCCATCCATAAACTAGTCTAATAAATAAAATCACAAATCTCAGATGACTGTCATAATTTAATATAAACTAATGACATATTTCTATAATGCATAAGAGGAACACATGTACATAATCTTCCAGTATCCTGTTTCATGACATCACGAAAGCATGACAAATTACACATAACACAGGGATTAGTGAGGTAGTATGTTACATAAACCTAAGAGGAACTCAGTGTGTTCGAGGTTCGATGTTGTGTGGACAAGTAAGAGTGAGGCAGACACAAATTTAAGATGTTATTACATTCACAATATGCATGTAGACATGAATATTAGGCTGCATTTTTCAATAATAGGTTGCAACATAGAGTTAACTTGAGCCTTGCTATCCCATGTCCCCTTGGGACTTCGCCTAAAAAAAACCTAATACAACATGCATCTGAGTGAGTGAGTTTGATTTTACGCCGCTTTTGGCAATATTCCAGCAATATCACGGCGGGGGACACCAGAAATGAGCTTCACCATGGTACCCATGTCGGGAATCGAACCCGGGTGTTCGGCGTGACGAGTGAACGCTTTAACCACTAGGCTACCCGACCGACCCCAACATGCATCTAAGAAACTAACTAACACTCAATACCCTATCTTGACATCATCACCCACCATTTCGTCTGTCCTCACTTGGGCCTCCTCTACAATCTCCTGACATCGCTTCAGGCCCTCCTCGTTCTCCAGTGTCTTGTAGGCTTTGTTCAAAGCTGCAAAACAAAGTCAATTAAGGTTCTTAAAGAGGTTGTTTTCAGGTACATGAGGAGTTTCTTGTAGGCTTTGTTCAAAGCTGCAAAACAAAGTCAATTAAGGTTCTTAAAGAGGTTGTTTTCAGGTACATGAGGAGTTTCTTGTAGGCTTTGTTCAAAGCTGCAAAACAAAGTCAATTATGGTTCTTAAAGAGGTTGTTTTCAGGTACACGAGGAGACATTTCACCAATGTATAACTATAAGATCAAGTGGTACCAAAAAGTCACATGTCTGCAAGCCTTTGTCTTCACACCCTGACAACTGTGAGAATGGATAAATAATGTGTTGGGTTTACAGACAGTGAGCAATATCACAGTTACGCCCCAGCAATATGTAGACAGCCAAACCAGAGGTTGATAGTGTGAGCATCTATCCACGCCTTTGTGGTATTACACTCTACCAGCCAGATCACATGATGCTCCTTCCAGGAGATATTCCACAAGTCAGGATATTCTAGTTTGACACTTGATATGGAATTTCTGAGTTTGTAGGCTCAACAAAAAAAAGTCATCTCAATATCCACGAGCTCTGTCTACTTGAAACTGTACATATGGCTAGTCTTACAGGGTATGTGGGTGAACATAAAACAACCAATGTAAAACAGTCATGAACAAATGACCAAATTCGCTGTATTAACATAATTATGCGCCCTTCTCTGATACCGTAAGTGCCCCTTGACCAAATACTAGACCTCGTTTCAATACAGAAAGGGCTGTCAACAACATGAGGGCAGACGTGATGGGCATCACCTGTCACAGCAGGCTAAGCGCATACCGTATTCGACGCAATAAGCGAAACAGGGCGCTCTCAAAATTAGAAATAGGGGGCTCTAATTGGAATATTATTTTGATGGAAACAAACAGAGTTGAAAGATACATTCCGTGGTTTTTGCTGACGGCCTGAACTGTTTATATATGACAGATATATTTTTCCAGAATTTAATTGCCCATAACTAAGGGTGCATATAACACACGAGTGTGTATTATACATGAATAAATAAGTCTTGTGTACATTGATCAATCGGAAGGAGTGCTAATTGGGATTGTTCACTTGCCAATATATTAGGAAATATCGCTGTTGGCGCTTATTAGAGCAGGGCGCTTATTACGTCGAATACGGTAATACAAATAATCATATTATTACGTTAGGTAAGAGACACATTTTTATTTCTAGTTGAAAGAAAAGGAAACCCTCAATGGACGTTTTTAAACAAGTATTAAAAGATGCTATTTATTTGGAATATCTGTCAGCAAAAACTAATAATAAGCTTTGCACTTATAACAGAAAGTTGATATTGTATTGTGGTTTACATGATGCCTTGAATCTTACATAGATTGCTGACTGTGTGTTATTATTGATTGTTTCCAATCACTTTGACTCTATTGCCAAAGAAAAACTGCAATGTTTCTCCAAGATAATGATTACAATACTATAATTCGGATCTGTTTATTCTTTTATTATTAGCTTATCTTTCTAGGATTGCTCATAAATATGGTGTTAACTACTTTCATGCCAGAACATCTTACATGATCAAGGCCTATCCTCCAAATATGCGGTGTCAAAATGTTAATAATGCGTTATATGTATATATCACTGTGTATGTAACCACTGAAACTGGAATAAAAATGATTGGAAAAAAGAAAAGAAAAAGCTTTGCTAAAGCTTCTGAGCCCATCACCAGAAAGATAAGAAACAAAACAACACATCAGATCCAGTATCCGTTGCTGATCCCTGTCTGGTTTGTTTGTTTGTTTGTTGTTTAACGCCGCACTCAGCAATATTACAGCTTTATGATGGCGGTCAATCCCTGTTTTGGCTTCTATTGTCCAGCTAAGCAGAAGCAGGGTGTCCTGCCAATCAGACGTCAAGGGAAGTACTGTCAGTGCCGCGGTCAAGGGTCTGTGAGCTGCTGCACCAGGTGACAGAACCAAACTGATGAAGTCCAGGGACATCCTCCACTGACAGGGAGTCCAGCTATGCAGAAGCAGGGTGTCCTGCCAATCAGACGTCAAGGGAAGTACTGTCAGTGCCGCGGTCAAGGTCTGTGAGCTGCTGCACCAGGTGACAGAACCAAACCGATGAAGTCCAGGGACATCCTCCACTGAAAGGGAGTCCAGCTATGCAGAAGCAGGGTGTCCTGCCAATCAGACGTCAAGGGAAGTACCGTCAGTGCCGCAGTCAAGGGTCTGTGAGCTGCTACACCAGGTGACAGAACCAAACTGATGTAGTCCAGGGACATCCTCCACTGACAGGGAGTCCAGCTATGCAGACGCAGGGTGTCCTGCCAATCAGACGTCAAGGGAAGTACTGTCAGTGCCGCGATCAAGGGTCTGTGAGCTGCTGCACCAGGTGACAGAACCAAACTGATGAAATCCATCCTCCACTGACAGGGAGTCAGTCACCCAGATAGTAATTTACCAACATGGAATCCAATCTCCCAAAACAGCGCTTAATAATGTCCACCACTGACACGTTTGTGGGAACACTCATATTTCCAGGGGATTGTTAGCCTGAGGTGATGGCAGTCTGCTGGAGGAGAAACTGTCAAGATCATTGATCGTAACCATAACGAGAGGGTATTCTAGGAAGCTACTGCTGAACTTGTGTGGGAAATAGGCAAAAACAACTGCTTTTGCTGCTGACAAAACCATTGAGTACCATCCAAGCAAGCTCGCGGTGCCAGCACGGTACACAAAGTGAGATCAGCCATAACTTGCTGACCCAGGACCATACATAAAGATTCAGTAAAACTAGAAAGTCCCCTAGTTGAAAGAGCAAACGTAATTGCACCAGGGGCACGGGTGGCCCAGTCGTCTAAGGTGCCGCAATTCCCTGTGCAGAGTTGCGTCCCTTGGGCCAGAAACGCCAGAAACCTATGATTGTGGGTTCGAATTTCAGTTCCCTCTATTATGTATCTAGCTTTGTCAGCACCATAACTGTGCTCGTGGGATTCACCAAAGTGGTAAACGTCTAAGACCTGCATCACTTCGGGCTTTCCTCCCACATTAAGCTGACACCGTAATATAACTGGAATACTGTTTAAAGCGGCGTTAAACCCAACTCACTCGCTAACTCACTAATTGCACCAGTGTGAGCATCTGAAACTTCAGAGTGGTTTGTAGGAGACTCTGATAGAAGATTTTAAGTTGTGAATCTTTCAGATTATGGTAGAATTCTTTTTGGGTACGAGGACAAATCCAAGAATAAAACCCCATCATGATCTGATCTACTACAATCTCTTCGATCGCTTACTATCCAACGAAATCTGGATGTTGGTCCAAAGGAGAGGGTCGTACCCTGGTAGGTAAGGTAACTTTGGAGGGTGGCATATAAGAGGAGTCACCAACAGCTGTAGACAACATCCCGAAAAGAGGGCATCTAGAGCTCAAGGGTCTTGAAACAGCTGATCCCAATTCCTCCAGAATCTGCCATCTCCTGGTCTGGGGACCACCGGGGCGGCAGGCCCCAGCAACATCCCATCTACGTAGAAGCAGCCAGCGTCCCAGCCATCACTGACAGCCCAGATGGGGATGGACGAGCCAAAGTTTTCAAAACAGATTACAAAAACGGTTATACACCCTAAGGGTACCAAAAAAATCCAAAAATCCACAAGAGCCCCAAGGCCCCAAATGAACAAAAAAATATGTAGGATATTAATATTAATAATGGGCCAAAAACATGTCTACACGCATTGCCAATTTGAAGTAAGTTGCTGCGTTCAGGCGAGCTGTTTTCACCCTGTGGTATAGATATTGAAAATATGAAGAAGAAATTGCACACTGTCAAAGCAGGATAGTAATAATTTAATGACTTGGTCAATGTTTCACTGACATAAGATACATCACACTGCCATGCAGCTTTACAGAAAATGGAAGTCTTTGATCAGGATGCTTAATAATTACATCAAGACAGAGCTCCAGATAAGCTTTTGGTGTTGTGGGTATTTTACCCATGCATTTTAAAATCATTGGGTATCAGTAATTCTATCTGGGTTTTCAAATTTCTGTTACCCACTAGTTTTTACACATGTGGGTAATTGAGTTAAATATTTAAAAACACTATTCATTTAGTCCCTGCACACTGGTGTCGTGTGGGTTCGAGAGCTTTATAGGACTAAAAAATACAACGATACTTCCACAAGAAAGTGTGATGGCAAATGATAGTGACGTAACTGTCATCGTGGAGTTTGGCAAGGTTGAGGAAATGCCCATTTATTATTTCAAAATAAGTTGCTGATTTGCTAATCGAATACGCAGGGTTACTTCACAATATTTTGATGATACGCACAAGTTTTATTTTTGTAGCTTATCTGTAATGTTCGTTGCGTATTTGATACGCTTGGATTTTCTTTTACTGCGTATTTCTGCATTTCGGATACATATTTTACGCAGATATGCAGCTTATCTGGAACTCTGTCAAGAGATAAACTGACAAACCTTCAAAGGCCTTCTGGGATCGGTCCTTGTCATCAAGGTTCTTGTCAGGATGGACCAAGATGGACATCTGAAACACAAACACAGAGGTGATGATGAGGAGAAATGGGGTTTAACATCATGCACAAGACTATAGCACTTATGTAGCAACATGCATGCATGTGTGTGGTGTGTGTGTATAAGTTTATGCCAGTTGTTTCGTACTAGGCCACCAAGATACCATGCCACAGTATAACATGGATACCCAACTTCAAGCTCACCAGTCCTTCTTTTGTTCCCTTATTGCTAAGCACCAGACAGGGTAACAACAAGTACCGTCTAGTTAACATATTTTGATATGACAAAGCAAGTGGATCGAACTGAACTATCCATTAGACCACAGAGGTTTTCACGAACAGGGATTATCATACCTCTTTCAAGAATCTTGCAATTCCATTGATTAATCTGTACCACGTGACGAAACAACACATTTCAATGTAGACCCCCAAGTCATGTGATTGACACTGACCTTGAATATAACTCACCACATGATCAGTATTGTATTGTCACAGATTGACATCTTGGTGTATTGTCACAGACTGACATCATGGTGTATTGTCACAGATTGACATCTTGGTGTATTGCCACAGTCTGACCCCACAGTGTGTTGTCACAGTCCGACCCCACAGTGTATTGTCACAGTCCGACCCCACAGTGTATTGTCACAGATTGACATCTTAGTGTATTGCCACAGACTGACCCCACAGTGTATTGTCACAGTCCGACCCCACAGTGTATTGTCACAGTCCGACCCCACAGTGTATCGTCACAGTCCGACCCCACAGTGTATTGTCACAGTCCGACCCCACAGTGTATTGTCACAGATTGACATCTTGGTGTATTGTCACAGACTGACATCATGGTGTATTGTCACAGATTGACATCTTGGTGTATTGCCTCAGACTGACCTCACAGTGTATTGCCACAGTCTGACCCCACAGAGTATTTTCACAGTCCGACCCCACAGTGTATTGTCACAGTCCGACCCCACAGTGTATTGTCACAGTCCGACCCCACAGTGTATTGTCACAGTCCGACCCCACAGTGTATTGTCACAGTCCGACCCCACAGTGTATTGCCACAGTCTGACCCCACAGTGTATTGTCACAGTCCGACCCCACAGTGTATTGTCACAGTCCGACCCCACAGTGTATTGTCACAGATTGACATCTTGGTGTATTGCCTCAGACTGACCTCACAGTGTATTGCCACAGTCTGACCTCACAGTGTATTGCCACAGTCTGACCCCACAGAGTATTGTCACAGTCCGACCCCACAGTGTATTGTCACAGTCCGACCCCACAGTGTATTGTCACAGATTGACATCTTGGTGTATTGCCTCAGACTTACCTCACAGTGTATTGCCACAGTCTGACCCCACAGAGTATTGTCACAGTCTGACCCCACAGTGTATTGTCACAGTCTGACCCCACAGTGTATTGTCACAGACTGACCCCACAGTGTATTGTCACAGTCCGACCCCACAGTGTATTGTCACAGATTGACATCTTGGTGTATTGTCACAGACTGACATCATGGTGTATTGTCACAGATTGACATCTTGGTGTATTGTCAGATTGACATCATGGTGTATTGTCATAGACTGACATCATGGTGTATTGTCACAGATTGACATCTTGGTGTATTGTCACAGATTGACATCATGGTGTATTGCCATAGACTGACATCATGGTGTATTGTCATAGACTGACATCATGGTGTATTGTCATAGACTGACATCATGGTGTATTGTCATAGACTGACATCATGGTGTATTGCCACAGACTGACATCATGGTGTATTGCCACAGACTGACATCATGGTGTATTGTCATAGACTGACACCATGGTGTATTGTCATAGACTGACATCATGGTGTATTGTCATAGACTGACATCATGGTGTATTGCCACAGACTGACATCATGGTGTATTGCCACAGACTGACATCATGGTGTATTGCCACAGACTGACATCATGGTGTATTGCCACAGACTGACATCATGGTGTATTGCCACAGACTGACATCATGGTGTATTGCCACAGACTGACATCATGGTGTATTGCCATAGACTGACATCATGGTGTATTGTCATAGACTGACATCATGGTGTATTGTCATAGACTGATATCATGGTGTATTGCCACAGACTGACATCTTGGTGTATTGCCACAGACTGACATCATGGTGTATTGTCATAGACTGACATCATGGTGTATTGTCATAGACTGACATCATGGTGTATTGCCATAGACTGACATCATGGTGTATTGCCATAGACTGACATCATGGTGTATTGTCATAGACTGACATCATGGTGTATTGTCATAGACTGACATCATGGTGTATTGCCACAGACTGACATCATGGTGTATTGCCACAGACTGACATCATGGTGTATTGTCATAGACTGACATCATGGTGTATTGTCACAGATTGACATCTTGGTGTATTGTCACAGACTGACATCATGGTGTATTGTCACAGATTGACATCATGGTGTATTGCCACAGACTGACATCATGGTGTATTGTCATAGACTGACATCAAGGTGTATTGTCATAGACTGACATCATGGTGTTCTGTCACAGACTGACATCATGGTGTATTGTCATAGACTGACATCATGGTGTATTGTCACAGATTGACATCATGGTGTATTGTCACAGACTGACATCATGGTGTATTGTCACAGATTGACATCATGGTGTATTGCCACAGACTGACATCATGGTGTATTGTCATAGACTGACATCATGGTGTATTGTCATAGACTGACATCATGGTGTATTGTCATAGACTGACATCATGGTGTATTGCCACAGACTGACATCATGGTGTATTGCCACAGACTGACATCATGGTGTATTGTCATAGACTGACATCATGGTGTATTGTCACAGATTGACATCTTGGTGTATTGTCACAGACTGACATCATGGTGTATTGTCACAGATCGACATCATGGTGTATTGCCACAGACTGACATCATGGTGTATTGTCATAGACTGACATCATGGTGTATTGTCATAGACTGACATCATGGTGTTCTGTCACAGACTGACATCATGGTGTATTGCCACAGACTGACATCATGGTGTATTGTCACAGATTGACATCATGGTGTATTGTCACAGACTGACATCATGGTGTATTGTCACAGACTGACATCATGGTGTATTGTCACAGATTGACATCATGGTGTATTGTCATAGACTGACATCATGGTGTATTGTCACAGGATGGCTTCTGCCAGTGTTGCTCACCTGTCTGTATTTCTTCTTGACATCTGCCAGGGGAAGGTCAGGGTCAACTTGTAGGACCTGTGATAGACAACATAAATGACGTTAAAAAGGGTGAATCCAATTATTGAACCTTACTATTGGATTATCACTTCCAGAACTCACTCAGTGAGGGAAACACTATTTTACACTTTACACTATTTCATTCTTACTTATTTGTGAGCCGTAGCTAATTTAAGATTTTCACAATTATCCCATGATAATACAGATGGTAATACTATCAGGTGTTGTAGATGTTGTATGGATAAACAAATCTTGTAATGTCAACATAATATAAGTGTTCATGAAAACAAAACGACTGGAATAGCAAGGGACCACTTTATTCACAAGTGTAATATATTGCAATACAGGTTCAAGGGGCAATACCCATCACTAATAATTATGAGCTTATCCTATAGACATAGTTGGAATTGTACTATGGGCTCAGCTTTCTATGATTATGGAAAGGGTTTTGATGCTCATAAACATAATAGCATGAATTGGGAAACGTTTAATTCCAATCTGGGAATTCTCACTGACATTTTCTGCAGACTTTGGGCTGAATATTGGCCAACACTCAGGTCTACCTATAGCCCTGCATATACCACCTTGGTGGATACCCCTAGTACAGCTATGGTTCTTTCAGACCAAGGTTCTTAATCAGGATAATGAGAACCCATGATCAAACATTCCTGACACCCAGCATGTGATTAGGTTTAACCATACTCCTAGAGTGAGTGAGTATGGTTTTATGCCGCTTTTAACAATATTCCAGCAATATCACGGTGGGGGACACCAGTAATGGGCTTCACACATTGTACCCATGTCGGGAACGAACCCAGGTCTTTGGCGTGATGAGCAAATGCTTTAACCACAAGGCTACCCGACCGCCCCCATACTCATAATACCTGACATTGAGTGAGTTTTACGCCGCTTTTAGCAATATGTCATCAATATCACGGCGGGGAACACCAGAAATGGCTTCACACATTGTACCCATGTGGGCAATCAAACCCGGGTCTTCGATGTGACAAGCCAACGCTTTAACCACTAGGTTACCCACTGTCCTCAGAACATGAGGGAAACCTGACATTGTTTACGTTTTTCTATAATGCACCAACCTTTACGAAACCATAGCTTTATAAGTGTGTAAAATATGTTGTCATGGCCACTGATGGATACTCACATCGAAAGGGTTGAGGTTGAAGTACGTCGAGCCAGGTCTGTTGAGGCGGTCTATCTGCTGCTTGGGCGTGAGCACAGAGTCTCTGTGCTCTATGGCTTTAACCTGTGCAACAAATACATTAACAAGATTAAAACACTTGTGATCAAAAATCAAACTGAAAATATTGATAGCGATACATTTAACTATATTTCAGTCTGATGTAAAATGACTATTTGTCCAATACATTGTAAACTTGTGTTGATAACTGGTAACAATAGCAATGCATGATCATGGTGACTTTAGACTAGTTTCTGTCATTGAGGTCACTAATCATCCCAACTTTGTTTGTTGTTTAATGCCGCATTCGGCAATATTCCAGCTATATATTTTTGGTTCCTAGTTACTGTTAATGTAAGCTCCAAACACGGATATAAGGAAGAGCTTGTTCACTATTTACTATGGTTGCGTGTTTCAATGGTGCGAAGAGTTGTTACAGTCCGTTTGACTCCAAATGAGAACGATGAATTGCAAAATAACTCGAAATCCAGAAAAGTGTATGAAACATCAATACGGTACTTGACCATGAATACCCTGTACCCAACAAAATCTGAATTTTGTTTGTTTTAAGACCCATGACGGATGAAGTTCTTTAAGAAACTATCATGTAATTTTGTACAGAAATGTGTACATGACACGTAGGGGGGACAAACCGTGGAAGTGTAATTTTTACCCACCTCACAAACAAAACAGCAGAAGTAGGGCGCTTGGGCCCCACACAACTTAATTCTAAGTTTCCAAAGTTCATGAAATGATGCCAAGAGCAAGAACCAGGTAAAAAGGAGGGATCAATGGTCATGATGATTGCCTAAATTAACATCTGAAAATGCTTCCCCAGGTTTAGAAGATTACAGAGCCAGGGGAGCCATATTGTCCCGACATTGGGGGTCAATTAATATTTTAGGAGTCAATCAACCAGCCCCCCCGCTCCCAATGATAATCTGAGATACTGGAAGATGGCATTTGAGGCCGCTTGTGACAATTTGAGTAGTGTAAATGACAGTGACCATCCACCTGAAGAGGTAAGTTGCTAGAATTATGTTGACAGGTCTGAATGATGATATGCAAACTGCAAGTGTGCGTTTACCTGCTGGTAAAATTCGTCAAATATTTCCCCTGTGGCCGCCACGCCCTCGGTAGGGTTGGGGGGCTCTTCGGGTGGCGCTTCAGGAGGTGGCTGAGAAGTGGGTGCCGCCATTTTCACTGTTTGTAAATAAATTTTAGGAAACGAATTGCACGCGATGTTACAAAGGGAGGTAAGTCAGTGTGAACAAGTGTCGAAAAACATACCGCTAATAAATCAGTCTTTCTTTCTTTAATATTGAAGAGTTGGTTGGTTGGTTGGTTGGGTGGGTGGTTCGTTGTTTCACGCCGCACTCAGAAATATTCCAGCTATATGACGGCGGTCTGTGAATAATAGAGTCTGGACCAGACAATCCAGTGATTGATATCATGAGCATCGACCCACGCAAGTGGGATCGATGACATATGCTTCAACCAATTTAGCGAGCCTAGCTGACCGCCCGATCCCGTTAGTCGCCTCTTACGACAAGCATAGTCGCCTTTTACGGCAAGGATGGGTTGCTGAAGACCTATTCTACCCCGGCTCTTAATGCGTTATGGCAGAGACCATAGACAGATGGTCTCTGCGTGGTTATGGTGAAACGCAAGATCAATCAATTGCAATAAATCTTTATTTTTAACTACAGCTGAAGGAAGCACATGTGTCGGTTTACTTGTACGCGCATCCTTGTGTAATGTGTGTTGATATGTGCTGGTGCCCGGTTGTTTGTCTGGGCATGCGCGGGTACCAGTGATCTAGGTTTCGTGTACAGTGTTCGAATTCTGAGTACGCGTTGGTTGGAATATGGATGTCCGTGAGTACAAATGGTAGGTACGCACTAGGGCTGGGACGAGTCCAAATTTACTACCAGGGTATACCCACCCCGCTATTAACCGACCCTACCCGGGTACCCACTGTAGGTCTCAGGAGATGTCTCAAAATGTCCGATTGGGAACATTTTTAGGATAGACCAGGCAAAACGCATTTAGATACATGTATTAAACAATCTGGTCATGCATACACTGAAGTTGAATTAAGTTATATCTTTATTCAACCAAATGAAAAATCAGAAAGAATGGGTGCATAGTCAGAAAGAAATGCGAACATTATTGACTTGTAGTGTAACCATAGAGTTCTGGATAATGTTTGTCATTAAACAATATATCACGTGACTAACCACGGGTCCAGGTAGTCCTGTGGGTACCCGGGCCCTACTCAGTACCCACCCGACCCGGGTACCCGAGTTACCTGTCCCAGCCCTAGTAGGCACTGGTCTGTTCGCATGCACGACTTTTACTCATGTATGCAAAATTATACATGTGTTTGTTTACAGTTGAGTAAAAGCGAAAGTATTATTTAGGCCTTCGGAAAGTTATAATCGGGTGTTGTATATTGCATGTATTGAGAGCAGTAAAAAAGCTACATCTTTATCTTCCGCATCATTATGTAGCAAGTATACAACATGGAAAGACTTAATGGGTGCAGGCTAAAACGGCACCTCAGCAAAACTTCACGATTTCTCTGGCGAAAAGATCACCGTATTTGGCGAAAACGGCTACTATGTGGTCGGGCGAAAACGACTATGATACAGCATGCTGATTTTTTCTGACATTTTTCTCGCATGCTACACATCGAAAGGCCATTGTGAATAATTGTGATCTGACAGCACCATGTTGAGCTTCTTAAATACAGTTTCAGCTTGACATTGAGTTAAATTGAGTAAAGGTACTTAAAACTTCAAAGAATATAATGCTTTCCAATACGTTAGTTTCACTTCCCAATCGCCTAACATTTCACAATTATTTAAGTTTAATTTCATTTATTTGACCAAGGTCACAAGAAAAATAAGGTGCCGTTTCCGCCAGGCAATAGTAGCCGTTTTCGCTTGAGGCTTGGTGACGTTTCCGCAAATCGGTGCCATTTTCGCCAGGTGACGTTTTGCTGAAGTGCCGTTTTAGCTATAACCCGACTTATTTCACATTGCAGAATACGAAGAAGACAATCTCCTTACCAGCTTGGTTTGACAATAGTGAGTGAGTTGGGTTTAACGCCGCTTTTAACAGTATTCCAGTTATATCGCGGCGTGTCAGCTTAATGTGGGAGGAAAGCCCGAAGTGATGCAGGTTTCAGACGTTTACCACTTCGGTGACAAACTTAGAAACATAGTTGGGGCGAACCGGGATTCGAGCCCACAATCATAGGTTTCTGGCGTGCCCAAGGGCCGCAACCCTGCACAGCGAGTCGCGGCGCCTTAGACGACTTGGCCACCCGTGCCCCCTTGACAATAGTGACTTGCTTGTGTAAAGACAAATCTGTATGGAAGATCGACAGAGAAACGGCTTGGTGGGAAAGTATGTACCATAATCGACAGCTAATGATATGCTTATTGTCGTATGCACACATGTTAACTGAAGTCAAGGAGCACCTGGGTAAAAGAACTAGATTAACATCTAGTCTCTGAAATGAACATATCGTACATAAAAAAAACAGTTGTTCAGTTTTCTTGATAAAAAATATAATAAAAAGGAGCCCAGTGGCTCATCTAGACTTGCCAAACATAGACTTGCATGGGCTGTATTTGATATATATTTGTATCAGGGTCTGTAAGACAGACTATAAAAGAACCAGTACCAGTAGTTGAGGCCAGTGGTCCAGGATCGCTCCTGGCTTCTGATTAGTCGGTTGGGTCACGTGACCTCTGATGACGTCACTTCCGGTTTGGTGTGCGCAGGGCATGGTGGGTCCTGCGCGCGCAACCAAGATGACGGCACATCCGTTTCCGGTAGCCTGCGCACCTCCAAGAGGGCGGCACATCCGTTTCCGGGGGAGGAGGGGGAAAAACCCAAAGAAGCGCTCGAACAAGGTGAAAAAGATCGACATTGAAAGAAGCGCGTATCAAATCCTTTATGTTCATTGTTTCTAAAAATAGAAGAGGCTGTGGTGGCGGTGGAGGGAGGAGGAGGAGGTGGGTTCTTTGTTTGGGTTTGAGGGTCGTCAAAGCATGAGGATGAAAAGCGTTCTTTCGGGAGAGATGGGTGGCCCTGAATTTTGTGGTGCAAAGGTACCTCATGACAGGACACTGACTGGTGTGGCGATGGCATGTGGAGATGATAGCTCACTGAGACGAACTTATCATACACAGTCGAGCATATATCTAATGTCATACAATACAGAATAGTAGATCAAGATGGCAGTTTCCCTGTAAAAATTATGTATTTCTAAAGATTTGTACAATATAACTTGATAACTGTTTTTAATCTTTGATCTTTTGTGAAAATAATAGTGGAAATGGTTGAGTACATGAACTGGTGTAGTGACGTATTTTACATTAAAAGTGGCGTGATTTACATCGTTAAACTATAAAAAAATCTACACAGTGTTACAACTATAAATGGTTGTGATTTATTCAAGAACGAAGTCAGTAATTGGGGATTTAACTTGCGCTTTCCGACGTTATGCGTATTTCGCACACAGTTAAGAACGAAGTGTAATTCATTTATTTATACCAAGTACGAATGCATCAATCCGCCCGCGTTGCATCTACATACATGTTCATTAATGCCAAAAGACACCAACATCACAGGACTAAGTTTCATCAAACAATAATCACTTATCCTGTTTATTGGCTTCGTGTCCCTATTGGCTTCCACCTATGTGTTTTCTGTCCATCAAGTTGTGACAGCATCATCCCTTTGTTGTCAACATCTACCAATGTTATCCCACTCATGTATGCAATTGTTGTTACTGTTAATCCTCCACTGTTAATCCTCCACCTACTATAAATATTCTGCACTATGTCCCTCATCAGTCTTGCTTGACAACGGTATAAGGATCTATACCGACACGTCGCTTTTCACAGTATTAAAGAAGCTGTTATCCATAAAATTGTGTCTATCTTGACTAAGTACATAAACTGACTCCCAAAAGAAACTTTACCAGAGTTTGAAATCACTCTTGCTCAAAAACAACAAAACATACATGCATGAAGTAAAGTGTATTGAAAAGATCAATATATCAACATAATCAACACTGAAAAATGACAATCATACCGCGACCGAGAATGACGTCAGAGCCCCCGAAATTTGGGTGTGGCACAAAACTCGAGCTTTCAGAATAATGGACAATATAGTCTGGTCATTCTGTAATTCAACCTCAAGAAAATTGCAACAGAATATATTACGACTGTTTCCTTTTGATTGAATGTATTTGAGATTGTATTAAAAAGTCTACCAAAATCAACCTTCGGGAAAATGGTTAATTCCCGCATCAAAAAAAGATAAAAACACACGAGGAGAATATAGCATTTACGGGCCGCCGTACATTAAGAAGAGTACGCAAAGGGAGATAATTCGTAGTGATCCTGCTGGTGCCTTGGAAAATATTCCGAAAAAAAACAACGATAACGGAGCCGTATTATTTCATGGTAAGTTGACAAATACAGATTTATTTTAAAATGTCATTAATAATGATGAAAATTATAGCAGTTGGCTTTCAATATACTTCTAACATGCCTATCAACCATAAATTGTGTAGCGTCGTCTGCTATCTAACTACGACCGCACCAGCAGAGAACATGTGTGTTAAACACGACCGATAACCATATTCCTGTCTTTTATAAATTCATCCAATATTGTTACAATTATTAGAAACATAATTATGTGACAAATAATATCGAAAGGTGGACCCTCCTTGATAAAATAAAAAATGTATGGAAGCCCATGAGTGACATGATGTATAATCATTTGCGTAATGCGTACGTAATTTGCAATTCATTAAATTCATTACGTTTTACAAACCAATCTTGACAATATTGATATCGGAACAAGTTACCTATTTCTAAAACACCCGATATTGACATTTCTCGTCTTGAGTGCATTTGTTTTACTGTTTAAAGTCACAAAATTAACTCTTTTAGCCGGCTTTTTTTACCTTTTTTTGTGTCTAGGTGAAAAACGGAACCAGACAACAGCGCCAGTGGATTCTGTCTCCGTTTCTTGACTTGAAACTGAATTTGTAGCAGGAGTAGACCAAATACTGTCCCCAAAGATTGTTTGGAATACAGCGAGGCACTTGTGTGTGTATTCGCCGAAGGCCCGGGTTCGAGTCCCCACATGGGTGCAAAATGCGTGAAGCCCCTTTCTGGTGTCCCTCGGGGCAATCTAGTTAAAATCAAATCTTTGTACTCGC